GTTACATTCATATTTCATTCGTACCACACCAGGCTTGGTTTGATTAAAACAATCCCTGGTGCGATTGCTCTGTTAGTGCAGTTCATTTGAAGTCTGAATGCTGCCATCTGAACTCTGGTGCGCATCAAACAAGAGAGCCGAGGTCGCTGAAAAGATGTTTCTCAGTCCTCTTCCAAACTATATCTGGTGCGGTTCGAATTAAATATGAATGCAACACAGACCAAAGCATTATTAAACCAAAAACAGGACATGATGTCCCGAGATGTGACCCTTAAAAGGACAGAAAGCTCATTCATGCCAGTTTTTTTTTTTTTTTTTTGCTGCGTGTCGCCCGTACAGGCATCAGAACCACCTGTTAACGCAGCATATCTTTGTTTGTGTGTGACGGAGGGATTCCTGCCTCTGTTTTGACTCCTTTACAAATTTGATAAGCTCTTCACGAGTTCTCAGCTGGTAATACCATCATATGTATAGGCTACGCACATACAAAGGGCACGTTTAGACCAGCACATAATAATAAAAGCCAACCAATCAGATTGTGAACGTATTCCTATGCCTTTAGTTTGTTGTAATGCCAACCTGAACGCTAAGAGGACCAGGACTAGGCTTTTTAAATTATTTGTCCGCACCAAACAAACCAAGCGATCTCAATCTCGGTCTGCTTGTTTGGTGCGCACCAGGGTTCAGATGCCAGCGTTCACACTAATGAACCGCACTAGAGTAATCGCACAAGGGTTCATTTCAATTGAACCAAACATGCCAAATGTGAAGTAAACACACCTTGAAAAGATGGGTCTCTGTCCGCTTCCAAACAAACCTTGGTGTGGTTCGAATTAACAGGCACAAAAGACCTGTTTACGAACCAAAAATGAGACATGATGTCACAAGATGCAATCAAAAAGGACAGAATGCTCAAGTATATCTGTTTTTTCTTGTCATAGTGGCAATGTTGCCTATCACAGTTCGGTACAGGCATCAATATCAACGCTTAAAGCAGTGTTTCCCAACCCTGTTCCTGGCGGCACACCAACACTGCACGTATTCTTTGGCCGTGTCTCAATATGCCTTCTTGTCTGCACTTGTGTTCTTGTGGACTTGTAAAACGTCATCAGTCGCAGCCCAAGAACTGTCCCAATGGGCTCTATGCACGGCGGTATTTCCGGTGAAGGATTAAGGATGCTCGATAACTTCCGCCGATCGTAGAGTCCAATGCAATACCGAGAATTTATATTGAATTTTATACTCCATGGTTATAATAAAGAAACGTTAGTCACAAAAACAGATAAAACAGACACCCCTCGTTGTGTTTATACTTCTTTTTAAAATTATATTAAATAAACATAACTATATATAAAATTACATCTAAACGTATGTACGTTTCGTTTCAAAGACGGGAGGACAGTAAATTTTGACGACTCTGCCATAATCCCGTTTTCCTCGGTTCTCCTCCGCTTAAATCTTCACAACCGGAAATGGACGAGCATCCTTGCGTCAAATGCGGAACTTATGCGTGCATATAGCCCATACACAAGTTTGCATTTAGGCAAGTCCCGGATGTGTTCTTGACACTCCCATTTTTACGAGGATGCATCGGTTGGTAACTTGTGTGAACTTGACGGCAGAAATATCCCATAATTCATTTCGGCATTCGCGGAAGGAGCGGGAAGCAGAGAGGCAGGTCAAAAGTTACCTGAATATTACCGAATATTACCGGCGTTTTTCCCGCCGTTGGCTAGTGATGTACACAAACAAACAACAGAAGCGGAATTAAAATGAGACAGGTGTTGCTTTATTGTTATGAATATACATTACATTGTAGTGTATGTAGAGTAATCCCTTAGGCTTGGGCGATAAAGCCTGGCTGTATAATAATTCTATTTATGTTTGGGCACTGCAGACGGCGTCTGTGCGGGGGTACTATTGCGCAATACCAGCAAGAACGCATCGTCTCAAACTGTCAGCGTTCGTGTGCTCGTCACCTTGTGAGTTCGTTCTTCCAAGAACAACTAGCAAGAGCTTTCTTCCCAAGAACACAAGTCCGTTCTTTGCATTCTTGGTTTTGAGAAACCGCCTTTGTCTCCCTTATCAAACACACCTGATTCAACTCATCAGCTCATAATCAGATGGGTTAATGAGCTGATGGGTTGAATCGGGTGTGTTTGATTAGGGAGACAATACACGCAGTGTTGGTGTGCCGCCAGGAACAGGGTTGGGAAACACTGGCTTAAAGGAGCATTTCACCCATTTCAACATTAATGTTTATTGAAAGTGGATCATATATGTATTGGAAATGTAAAAGAATTTTTGAATTTGGTGCCCTCTTGACCAAGAAAAGACAATGACCAGAGAAAATAACTGAAGGGCATTTGTATGAAAGACTACAACACCCACAATGCAGCACGATAGACAGCTCCACAAGCCACACCCACTTATCCGGAACTGCGCGCACATCAGAGAAATCATTCTTTCGTCAACAAGGCTAACGTTAGCTGACATCAGAGTGTCAGCGCTGACATCAAAATTTCTAGTTAGTTGGCTGTGGCGAGCAGGACGAGGGACGTGAGAGCGGCGCGAGAGGACGGCGCTTGTTAGCTTAGCTTCCAAAAACAAGATGGCGGATATCGATTTCAGTCCCACCCACTGATCTGTTATAGGCCTGCAGGGTGAGTGGGTCCCACCCTTGAATAATAATGAGCTAATGTCTTTGTAGTCTCTACACTTTTCAATGAAATGTGACTTGCTTATTATGACGCAAAATGACGATGTTTTTGCGTTTAATGTTGTTGTTTTTTGGTCCGGACTGAACAAACCAAGCGAACCGAACAACAAGTGTGAACACACCCAGTGTTTTAGTATTGATTGTTGTTTGTACTACAGCATAAAGAAAAAATACTGTAAATATATTTTAATAATAATATTAATGGAATTTTTTTGCAGTTCCCAAAGTGAACCTATTGATATCAAATCTTTTTTTTTTTTTTTTTTGTCTATGACAATTCCTTTTGGTTTCATTCCTTAAAGGATTCCCAAAACCTCTGATTATCCCGTGACTAAGTTGAACCCAAGGACACATAAATATTTTCTTGAGAAAGAAGACTTTCAAGACCACATTGAAATTAATCCTCTCAATGTCAAGCATCTCCAAGATCTTCTGAAGGCACTGCTGTCCACTCCAATTCCCACTTTAATTCCATCTCGGGACAGTTTAGATATAATAAAAGGGTACCGGACAGAGGGAGATAAAGATAAAGGGACCAAGAAAAAGCAGAGGGGAGAGTATTATCCATCTTTTTTCATCAGGATAAAAGTAACTGCAGTATGGGTGGGATTCAATGGTATGTGAAAGGTGTCAGAGTGTATTAAATGCTAATTCACTCAGGGGAAAGCTGCTTACTGTCCTGTGCTTGCTGGACACTCATATTCAGTACAGGACTCTTTAGTTTAAAATGAATATTTTTTTATTCAGATGCATATTTATTTAGAACCATATCATATCATTTCAGTAATGGAAATTAGCACTGATCAAACCTGGAGATTGGATGCATGAAAATACCACTTTCAAGAATGTTTATTTTTATCTCCAAGAAAGCAACAGTTTATGAATTATCTATTGTATTGTCATAATGATAGATTAATTAAACTCTTTGACTCAAACTATTATAATTTGGTTGTTCTACAAAACTTAGTTCAATAGTTAAAATGGAAATATTGTATTGGGCTGAAAAAAAAAAACGAATCGAGCAACTTGTGATAGCAGCAAAGCATCATGTTACTTGACTGGCTTAGGACATTAACTATTTAACAGGTAGGTAGAACAACCTGCCATCTGTGACTGACTGGTTTGTGTTTGTCATCATCACATGCTGTAACCATTCACAAAATAATGCCCTGGGAAATGCATGACGAATCTATGTATAATGAATGATTCCTAAGATGTGTTGTTCCAACATTATAAATGTAGTTCTAAAAATCTATTGAGATGTCTGTGACATAATTAGCTTTATGTTTTATCTAATGATGTCATGGATTAAACTGCTCCTGTGGCTTATCACAATGTAACATCACACTAAAGTTCCAGGAACTGACATTATGATCACCTCCAGCAATCAGCAGTCACATGCCCCGATTTAGATACTTCACACTGACCTCAGTGTTGGGAGTCACATACAATCTTCAACACAAATCCACAACACACACAAATTCTAAAGTTGTTTTATCAAATTGCCTATGTTTTGCTTCTCTTTTTTTAGAAAGACTTAAAAGATTTAAAATGATTTGATTATAAATCATTTTTTGATAAATCTTTCTGCGCCAGTTTTGTTTATCTCAAGACTAGTCGTCAAAATTACCCTACGTTTTTCAAAAAAGCCTGACTGGAAATAAATGGAGCTCTGATATGGAGAGCATGAACTAAGCAATTAGTGAATATAAAACACTTATTGCTATCATGAATAACCAAAAAGTCACAATTTATTACTTTTGTTTTCTCCATAGCGCCCCCAACAGTATAATTAACGCGCATTTCTCCCTGTTTTAAACAGTCTATGATTTCTCCATTTATTCCCTGAGCAGGGGCGCGCGTTTCAGAATTGCACGTTTCTACCATTTACAAATCCGTTCATCCGTTCTAAGACAATAATAATAATAATCCAAGCAAAACAGTTGCGTTTCCAACCCTTTGAACAATTCCGTGTCAATGTCTATGATTTCAGCCATTTTATTGTAATGTAAAGCTGGTAAGATTCCCAGGCAAGCACGAGGTTACAATACCGGTACACCCCTAAAAATCAGCTTGTGGGCGCTGTAGTGGGTTGTACCACTGTTCTGTGTAATGGGGTATGGGTGGCGTCCGATTTAAAATGATTTTCAAACATAAAATACACACTTTATTACAAAATTAAGTGTAGTCATATTATTTGTTCTGTTTAAAGAACGTATGTTAACAGCCTACATAAGACACGCCTATTTTGTTTTTTTCGGGGAACACAAATCATTTTCCTCCCCAATCTCGCGTGGGACGGACAACACTGATACAGTAGACAGAGCATCTGCGCCTCCTGCATCACATTTACATCAGATTGTATACGAGATGTCCAAACCATCGAATATAACCCGTCTTTAGGTCGAAACAGCTCTTTTCAAAACCTTAGCTCACTTCATTTTGATTCGTTTTAAGGTAAGATTGTTTTATTTGTCTGTTCGACTGTGCTTATTTGACATAGAGATGAGAGAACGGCTGCGCAATCACATCCAGTGTGTATGATGAAACCTCGCACATGGGTGACAGTAAATTCAGGCGGGGGGTAAAAATGAAGTTCTTTACAAATGTATATTGTATTTCTTTAGAAAATAATAAGTGTTATTCGCATGAGCGTAATTGTCTATTTCAGTCTGTATATTTCCTAAAATAAGCGGAATTTAAATTGGTTGTAGCTACACATGTTGACACAATGGCCTTTGCTAATGACAAATTATTTACTTTAGCCTATTGTTGACACCCTATATGCGCATATAGACTTCAATTACCTTTTTTAACGTTGCTTTTTGAATGAGCTCATTTAATTTTTTTTCTCAATTTTTTAAGAGATATACTGTAAATTCAATAACGAAGAGGCCAAAATGTGTTCTGCTGGAGGCTGAATTATAAAAAGGTGCAGCCTTGAAAGAAATCTGTTAATCACATGAGCTTCGACCGAGAGCGGCCCAGCAGCATCATTCACATTATAGCCTACACTCGTGGTTTAGGATACAATGTACAAAACCAGAGGTTTTGATCCACAAAATATTGATTTAATAGCGTGATTACTATTATTTTACATTTTGCTGTCTATCTATTGCAAATCCGCTCTTCAAACCTTTATTCTGGGGCGATGCGGTCACGTGATCACAGAAGGCGCGCTCATGTCTGTTTGGGTTCTTATGCAAATGAACCGACCTCGTGCTATAAAAGTGGGGCTTAAATTATTTAGATGGGAAATATGATCGTGTTACAAACGATTCGGTTGGTTTAAATGACATTTGATATCAGATGGAAGCTGACTGTGATGCGAGTCATGGTTTGCAGCCTGCTATTGAAAACACTGTGTGCTTTACGTTTGTATTTTGGCAAACTTGCTGTTACTAGAATGTTAAAATGTAATTATAGAATACTTATGTAATTTCTCTATCTATTTTTTCCTCTAAACGCAATGCATAAACTGTCCAAACCTAATGATATTAATGGGAATTACACCTGTTTGTGTGATATGCAGTCGGTGGAGAAAAATAAAGATTTGTGTGATTTGATTTGCCTGATGTCAAATAAGTTATTGCTACAAAAATATATAATTTGTAAGCCATCTTTTATTTAAGGACATTTAACATGCAAGTAAGTGTCATATTGCATCATGTTAGGGAAATTAAGCTGTCTGCATCATGTTAGGGAAATTAAGCTGTCTAGTTTCTGTTCTTTGTTTTTGTTTCTAATAGGAAGCCTGTACCGTGAAAATGAGATGATAAACATTTCATCAACCCACACTTTGCTTTCTGTTGACTAAATCCCTCTCTTTGAACTACATCTGACCTTTTGAACGAAACCGACCCTGTCGAAAAGGATTTCCTAGAATCTCTCCCTCCCCGCCACCAAAAAAAGACATTTTCAAATGCCCAAAAACAGCAAAACCGTCAAGAGAGAGATTGACGATGACGATGTTACGGAATCTGTCAAAGATTTGCTCTCCAATGAAGATAGCTGTGAGGACTCTTTCAAAAAGAGCTCTCTAATGGTAGGAGATGTTCCTCAGAATAAGGAACGGGATGTTGAAGAGGGCTCAGAGGAAGAGGAAGAGGAGGAGAGACCCGCCTGGAGCAGCAAGCTCCAGTACATCCTCGCCCAAGTGGGCTTCTCAGTGGGCCTGGGCAACGTCTGGAGGTTCCCATATTTGTGCCAGAAAAACGGTGGTGGTAGGTTATGCATTTAAGCACAATATATATTTTTATAAGAAGAGTGTAAGTCCAATTAAATGTCTCAAAATGACATTTATCAATTTAATACATATGATATGGATATATAATCTAATCAGCAGCATTATTTTAGAGCTTACATAGATATCCTATATTTTCCTTTTTTATTTAAATGAATATCCTATCAGTAATCCATCATAATGAATTGCAATACCTATACTCAGTTAGGAAAGATACATTTACGCACACACACAGGTTTGTTTTGCTGTACTTGTGAGGACATTCCATAGGCGTAATGGTTTGTATACTGTCCCAACTGTATATTCTCCCCCCCCTACACATCACAGAAAACTTTATGCATTTTTACATTTTTAATAAAACAGTTTAGTATGTTTTTTAAGCCATTAAGCTGTCCTCATAAATCACGTTCATATTGTAACACCAGTGTAATATCCATGTCATTATAAAAATTTCTGTCCTCATAAATCACAAAAAACAAACACACACAGACAATTGAATGAAGAATCTTTTGAGTCTGTGGACCGAGAATTGAATCTGAAACTAAACTTTTTTCTAACAATTACATAATATTTTTTTTTTAATTGTGATAAATAAATTGTGGGTTCCCTCAAAATGTACATAAATGGAATTAAATAAACCATTGTTTTTATAATGCTTGAACAAACTTCATTTCAAACTTAAACAACCTAAAGTCAGACATGTCTGACACCTCATTTGCAAGCTCTCATTATGCATTTCCTGCACATATCTGCAGGAAACACAAGTCTCGGTGCCAGAGGTCTTTCTCTGAAAATACACACAACTAAGAGAAATCTCTCTTTCTTTGATATTCAGCAAGCCCACTGATCTTCCACTTAACATCATATTGAGCAAAACCCAACACAACGGTGGATAATAGCCGCCCTCATAGGACATCACACATAGGCTTATCGCCATGTTAGTTGTAGTGGGTGACTTTCTATAACCAGCATTACACAAGCTACCAAACAAGCTGGGGGAATGTTATAACATTATAGTGGAGTTATCATAATTTTTTGTCATGACTAATTTGCTAATGACTCAGCATCGTCTGTATTAAAGAGAAAAGAATCACTTCATCTGATGTTTAAAGTGAATAAAATAGCCTATTGGACAACTTAATGAAGTTCCACAACTACTGAAGTTACTATTTCCACTGGACTTGTGTGTAGGTGAGGTAAAGGAGGCAATGGACCAAAGCTCTGTGAGGCAAGGGAGGGGGATTCAAAATGTTTCTATACTTAGAATGTTTAAAACAAAATGTTTTACTACTTACACAGTTATTTTAAGTATATATCATTATATTATTTACACTACACAGTGTGGTTTTTAATGATATTTTTAGGGGGGGCAGCCCTTCCCAGAAGAGTAGAAGCTGTTGTAGCTGCAAAGGGGGGGGGGACCAACTCAATATTAATGTCTATGTATTTATAATGCAATGTCATTACAGTTCCCGTTGGTGTAATGGTCAGGTGTCCCAATACTTTTGTTCATATAGTGTATATCTATCATTCAAAATGAGTAGAAATAGTTGTTTGAGTGAGATTTCTATGTTCTCACAACAGCCAGGCATGGCATTGAAATGAAACGTTTTGCATGTTACAGGATAATCACAGGTTATATTACCCAACTGTGATTATACAAAGCTGTTTAATGTCAAGTGAAAGCAGATTACAGCTTCTTACCCTAGTCGCCCTGAGAGCAATGACATGCAGATAAGATTACTCATGTCTCTCTCTCTTTGTTCTCCATATGTCATTTGTAAAAGATTTCTATATCAGAAAGAAAGGCAGACGAGAAAGAAACATATGCAATAGCTAAGGAATTCTACTGTCTTACATTTTAGGTTTCATATACTGTAGTAGGAAACTATTGTTTGTATACACTTGACCAATTTTCTGTCTAACTGCCTGAGAATTTGACCACAACCCTGCCGTGTCTTACTACTTACTCCAGGTTATAATAAGTGAGTGTGACCACCCTGCTGTGCAGATCTTTAATTAGATTAAATATGCCACTGTGTGTGGGCTCCCTCTATCTTTGCCAGGGCAGAGCAACCACAACATCGCACCATCTACAGTGTGTGGCATCAATGACAGCATATTTTGTCCTCAGAAACATACCTGACATTTTGCTGCCCCAGTCTGCCAGATGTCACCTTGCGCACAGCCCATGGAGCCGTACATATTTAAACAAGCATCTCACAGCGCACCAATCTGGCCTACATTAAACCTTAAACAAAATGCAAAAACATGACAATTTTGGTGAGATTCTACTATTTTAAATTTAATTGGGCACAACACAAGATCTAAATACCCCTATTGTTGGCTACAATAAGGCTGCTAAATAAATTGAATGATAAAACATTAAAATCAGTGGTGGAGCTCACCTTTCTCATATCCTGGGTCAGGTGCTTCAGAAATTGGATTACGCACTGTGTGACAAAGGGAATTAATGCAAAATGGCTCAAAATTGTTAATGACATTTCATGATATCCCAAAGCCTGTACTGTATAGTTACCACTTAACAAAATAGACAGGTTGAAGACCTTACAAACCAAGTTGTTATGAAATAAAATGCCGTACTTACTGTCTCATTTAATTTTTATAAATTACTCTTTAGTTTATGTTTCCAATTAGATTCATGTCTCTAAATATACCAAATGGTGGTGTGTAAAAGCATACTTATCTGTGAATATCAGTAGGTTTCTGTGTGTTAAAGCACATGACTGCAACATGTTGGAAAAGCAGCAGACCTGCAGGACTCTCAAAGCAACGGCATTGTATTGAAGTTGTTCCCTTCCCCAGCACTGGGAAGGAATGTTCTATCCTGTGCCATTGGCAATGCTTGAACAGTTTTGAAATGTCAGTCTCGTCCTTCTTTGGCTCTCTGTAATGAGAGTTTATTTCAAGAGAGAAAATATTTGCAGATTATAACAGTGGGTTAACCAGTTCTTTCATATTTGATAAAAAATGTTAGATTGTACCAGTGTTGTTGAACTAAAACTATTAAACATTGAAAAAAATGTCTTAAAATAAAGCTGAAATTGAAAAAAAATTTAAATAAATTGATGGGAAAAAAAAACATTTAAAATGTTGCCATGGCAACTAACTGAAATAAATAAGTTAAAAGTAAAATAAAAATAACTTAACGCTAAATAATAATAAAACAAAGGAACATAACTAAATTACTTACTAAAATTAAAAATATAAAAATAAAAGCTAATTCAAAATATTAATTAATCCAAAACAATATTGGATTAGACACAAAAAAAATTACATGATTAGCATGATAAATAACCATAAATCAAGAAACATGTAACTAATAAATGAATGGATAAATAAATCGACATAAAACCTGAAAAAAAAACTATCAATACAGCAAAAAATACACAGTAACATTAAAAACGTATTTTTTTAGATACCAAATATTTACCTTAAAGAATGTTGGATTACAATAGGTAATTGGTTTAATTACATTTACATACAGTCACTTTTGACATGTATGCACTGTAGCTGGCATACTGTATTTCCCAAGTCGTGTGTATAACAGTGTGGAAGTTTGGTTCCAAAATAAATAGGGCCATAACCATTTCTCCTCTTTGTAGGAGCGTATCTGGTTCCCTACTTCATTCTGCTGGTGGTGATAGGAATTCCCCTCTTCTTCTTGGAGCTAGCAGTGGGCCAGCGCATCCGACGGGGGAGCATCGGGGTGTGGAACTTTATCAGTCCACGCCTGGGTGGCATCGGCTTCGCCAGCTGTTTGGTGAGTATCAGTGCTTTCAAGTAGACACACGTTATTTTAAGTGCACTGTATAAAAATAACCAAAGACGGACACTGTCTTTGCAACAGGGTTGAGGTGACTAATTAAACCTTTTAAAGACTTGGGGAGATGGAGTAGAGGGCGTAGCTCATACATTTAACTTCATTCTCTCTAATTGCAGGTGTGCTTTTTTGTGGCGCTCTACTACAATGTCATCATCGGCTGGAGTCTCTTCTACTTCTCGCAGTCCTTTCAGCATCCTCTTCCTTGGCACGAGTGTCCCCTGGTCAAAAACAAAACAAATACATGTAATAAGTGAAATTATGCTTTGTATTTTTCAAAATACATTTAATACATGACATACTGTATGTAGACAGAAACAATAGATTTTAATATACTCAATAACTTCTAAAGATTTTAAGTTTCATGTTATTGTGTAGATATCGAACCCGAGTGTGAGAAAAGTTCAGCTACTACGTTCTACTGGTATCGTGTGGCCCTGGATATCTCCAATTCCATCTCTGAGAGTGGAGGACTTAACTGGAAGATGACTTTATGCCTGTTGGTTGCTTGGACCATGGTGTGTCTTGCTATGATGAAGGGTATCCAGTCTTCTGGAAAGGTAAGAAAAGTGTTTTGTATTTTGTTCTAAGAAAAGTCTGCCTTTAGTCACAGAATAAAGTCATCCAAGACCTCAAGGGATGTCTTAAAAGTAGCACAGAGAGAAACACTGACCCTCAGACCTCTCATGTTATCCATCCCTGCTCAACTTTATGAAACGTGATGCACCATCTGTAAGGAGAAAACCAAATGTGGTTTGGTTGGTTTCCCTTTTGACAGCTGATTTTCAAGTCATGTGGGTACTTAAGACGCCCTAAAGAAGTTAAAACAACATATTGAGGGGTTTTCATTTTTTAAAGGCAACCATTATCATAGTGAATATGTAAAAAGAATACACATAATTATAGGTAAGGAATAATTAACGACGGGCTGTTGAATTATTAGAAAAATAATGCACACCCGAGGTGGTAATACCCCGGGTGTGTATTATTTTTTTAATAATTCACCGGGCTGGAGTCAATTATTCTGCAGTTACCACACCTCAAAACATTGTTCAGATGACGTATTTTAAGACATGAAGTATGTCAGGTTTTTGTCCTTAAATCACTCTTATGTGTAGGACTAATTTCTTAAAGGGTTAATTCACCCAAAAATGAAAATTCTGTCAGTATTTACTCACCCTCAAGTTGTTCTAAACCTCTATGTGTTTATTTGTTCTGCTGAACACAAAGGAAGATATTTGGAAGAATGTTTTAATCAAACAGATCTCATTCCCCATTGACTACCATAGTAGGAAAAAATACATACTATGGAAGTCAATGGGGAATGAGATCTGTTTGATTAAAACATTCTTCAAAATATCTTCCTTTGTGTTCAGCAGAACAAATAAACACATAGAGGTTTGGAACAACATGAGAGTGAGTAAATCCTGACAGAATTTTCATTTTGGGGTGAACTAACCTTTTAAGCATCTAATCCTAAAACTCAGTTGCCAATTCCAAGACATCACTTTAGATTTGGTAACAAAGGCTTCAGCCACTGATAACACAAACTAATGCAGTTCTCCTGAGTCTATGCGTCTCTCAACAGTGTTTGGCAGCAGCGTCTCTAGATTTGATATTGTCCATCCGCAACTGATTGGCTCGTTGGATGGTTGTGGTTGTGGATCTCATGTGAGCGACAGGTTTTCCCGCCCACACACCATCAGAGAAAAGAGAAGAAGGGAAGTTAAAGATTAAGGGCACATGAATTAAATAATACTAATAATAATGATGTGAAGGGATAAATCATTTCGAATGAATAAATATTCCAGCAATATTAAAAAAGAGGAAATGTCCATTTTGGTTTCATGGTGACTTCAATATATTGCCAGTTAAAGAGACTGCAATCCATTCCACTGTGTAAGTGTGGCCCCTCAGTCAGTAAGGATATTATAGTATGGGATACTATATAAGCTATACGCTGAAGGGGATAAAAACAGTCTTTGAAGCCTAATCTAGGATTTACCTCACAAAAGAATACCAATCACTCATTCAACATTCCCACACAAGCGTATTTCACACCAAAAAAAAAAAAATCCTAGTGATTTTTTTCTTCTTCTTTGTCATTTTGTGTGCACAAAAGCATGGCGGTGCTGGTTGCTATGGTTTTATGTGCACCATCCCTATTCACAAGTCTGTGGCACTGTACCCAGTAACCTTACTCAACTACAATTATTAGTGTTTGAGGATACTGTACTGTAGAATTAGAGTTGTGTCTGGAGGAAGAAGGATATATTTATTTGAAGATTCTTCGTATAACCTTTTTGATGCTTCACTTTTGAGGAACCATAAAGAAATGTCTTTTAATCTTCTAAGTTGTGGGATAGACTTTACACAATAAGACTGGTCCGCCCTTGATGAATCAGAGATGAGTCAGTATAGTCTTTTGAGCATTTATGACCATAGAGAATGTACAGTCATTCACTAATTCCATCAACAAAGGCCGTTTTGTTAACTTCAAAAAGTAATTTAAATGAATATATGACTGCACACATTTTCATGTAAGAGCATGGTGCTAGTAATGCCAAGGTCATGGATTTGAATCTGCATGAACTGTTAAAATGTATAACCTCAATGCAAGGCAAGTTTCTAAAATACACATTAAAATTATGAACCAAATTAAAACATGTCCATAAAATAAATTATGTATATGCTTTGAGGATTAAGTTAATTATTTATCATTAAGTCATCAAATTTTTGCTCTTGTACAATAGAAAATGATGAAATTATGTTTGGGGTGTGACTTTATGACTGTACTGAACTTTTAAAGAGAACCAACTGTTCCCGTTGCTGGAAGGTTTTGAGTCACACCAGTGTTATTGTAGTATTTTTTATAAAATCTATACAGTATTATTATATTTAATAATATATACAATGGGGATATTATTTGAGCTTTCATTTATTTTTTATTACATTTAGTTTTTTAGTAACTTTAATACTTCAACGTAATCTTATTACATCAGCTTGATACTAAGGAAATATTTTGAATTTTAAGTTAAAATGTTTCATCTAATATTTATATATTTTTAGCTTTGTTTCAGTTTTTGAAACTGTTTATAATCACTTTTGATTTAGTTTTAGTGAACAATAACAACACTCTGAGTCACATGATCTCATTGCTGGCAAATATGGAAGATATAAAACTGAACAAGTCCATCTCTTCGGATGTACATGTTTAGAGCAAAGCCTTTGGTTACAACATCTCTCGACAAACCGCAATCAGTATCATCATCTAGGTTTTGTAGATTAGAAGACTATCATTGTCATGCAGGATAAGCAGTAAGACTAGGCTTTGTTCAGACAGTCAGAAAGAAATAGTTCTGACTCAAATGTGTTTAGAACGGCAAAATACCACATGAAACTCAGTTATTACAAACTAGATCAAAACCAAATCCATATGTCAGATTTCTGGAAATATGCTTCAGTCTGATGATCGGACTGGCCATGCAGGCTGGCATTTAACAACACGCACACAAAGTGTCTGCAGCTGTGTCTCAATTCACTCATTTACAGTCACATGTTACATTCAGTCCTGCTATAGATGCCTTAACTACACCATCTGGCTTAAAGAAACCATCTATCTTCATTAACGTTCATTCAAAATTAGCTGTGTATTGTAATGAAATAATTCTTTCACTGTAATGTTTGAACAAATCCATCTGATTTCTTCTGTCGGACTGTCAGACGGACTGTCTAGGTTTGAAAACCTAACTAAAAGTCCCCCTGTAGTCAATCATTTTCCCCTTAAAACTCACCAGTGATCACCAAAATGACATATTTCAACATTAATAAATAAATGTCATGCCTTAAAATAACTTAAATGTAACTCTTCACCCTTGCCTCATTTAGTATACGCGGTTCAATGAATATGCAAATTAGCCCCACTTCCACTTACTCACACTCAAAGGGACAGTGATTTTACATTGACATTATTTGATAATATGTTTGGTTATGTCTGACTGCAGGTGATGTACTTCAGCTCTCTGTTCCCCTATGTGGTGCTTATTTGTTTCCTGGTTCGTGCTTTCCTACTCAAAGGTTCTATAGACGGCATCATCCACATGTTCACCCCGAAGGTAAGACCATGTGAGAAGATGACACATTTCCACAATGGTTAGACCAATTTACTCGACATGCTCTGGTTCACACTGCAGCAATTAATTCAATTTATTGAGAATTACCGTAATCATCCATAACTAATTCCCATGTGTATCACTCGTCTCAGTTCGGTGAAGACCAATAGATGTATCTATGGAAACAATACCCTAGCCAGATTTCCCAGCATGCATTTGTGATGTGACTCGGCAGAAGTGAATTAAACCTTCCATCAGCACACACACTGAAATGCAGCAGACTGTCTAATTGTGCCAGCTATTTTACATAAAACCCATCCAACACAGATACAAGATGTGGTCTCATTTTCTCCTCAGTGCAAAGGGCTGTCAATGCGTCCCTTGTTGAGTTATATGTCGCTTCAGAGTCTTATCAGAGGGTGGTTTGTGTAACACAATTAAATGATAGTATGTAGCCTTCTTTTTCACACACAATGGTAATTAGTACAGAGCCATTACAATCACTGCACTGCTCAGGGGGAGGTTTGATTGTAAATTTTGCTTTATCATATAAAATCCTATATTTAAGCTTTTTTAGAGCTTAAGTGTTTACTGGAATAGTTCACCCTATTTACTCTCATGTTGTATTTTACTCCAAACCTTGCATAGATGCATTTCTTATTCTGTGGAATACACAAAAAAAAAAGATGGTTGGTAACCAAACAGTTTTGGTGACTACTTATATCCATTATATGGCAAAAAAAGAATTCTCTCAAAATATTTTCTTTTATGTTCCACAAAAGAAAAAATAAGTCAGTGTTATTTTGGTATTATTTATATATTATTATAAATATATATTTTTTATTTTAATATTTTTTAGTAATATTTTTTGTTATGTGATTTTGTCACTTTTATTAGGTTTTGTTCTTTTTAAATATTACTATAAAGGTTTCATTTATTTTTTATTCAGTTTTAGTTCAGTTTTGAGCTTTTTATTTACAGTTTTTTTTTTTCCAGTTTCTAGTAATTTTAGTGCTTCAACTTAAATGTTTTTCAGGTAGTTGCTGAGGCAATATTTAACATTTTATAATTGTCATTCAATTTAAGCTGTCCATCTAAAATGCATTTATTTTTGCTTCATTTCAATTAACAAAAATGTTTAAGTTAATGATAAGTCATACAGCTTTGGAACAATACAAGTGTGAGTAAATGATGAAAGAATTTCCCTTTAAGAGTGTTACTGTGTGTGTGTGACTCAAGATAATTATTTAATATGATCATATGTTAAAATATGTGATGTAGCCCAATGTTTAAAGAAGCAATGGGTCTATATATCAGCCTGGATGTAAAAAATAAATATTTGTTAATTTCAGATTATTGGCTTTTCAGTTTAACCATGGGCAAATTGATATATTTTCTGAGGTTATTCTAAATTAAAAGCATATCACTGTGGATGATTTAGCATGTGACAAATAATAAACTACACTATCTTGTTACAGCTGGAAATCATGCTGGAGCCCAAAGTGTGGCGTGAAGCTGCCACGCAGGTCTTTTTTGCCCTGGGTCTTGGTTTCGGTGGCGTTATCGCCTTCTCCAGCTACAACAAGCGAGACAACAATTGCCACTTCGATGCTGTGCTGGTCTCCTTCATTAACTTCTTCACCTCAGTGTTGGCCACTCTAGTAGTGTTCGCTGTGCTGGGCTTCAAAGCCAACGTCATGATTGACAAATGTGTGGAAATGTAAGTTCAAAACCAATTAACCATAAGAAGCAGTTTAGTAGCAAGTTCCAAATATTATTGAAAATAAATATGCAGTCATCAAACTGCTTACAGGCCCAATGACCGGTAGTTGAATTTCTTGTTTTAATGTATCTTAGGAACACAAAGAAGATCATTGATTTCCTTGGAAAAGAGATTAATCCAAGCTTGATCCCACACCATATTAGCTTCAGTAAAGTTAGCCCAGAGGACTACCAGCAAATGACCAGCATTATCCAGGGCGTGATGGAAAACGATTACCCACGCCTAGGCTTAGACAACTGCGACATCAAAGAGGAGCTGAACAAGGTGAGGAGGAGCTTCAAGTGAACTGATACACCACGGGGAAACCTTAGAGACACACGGGGAAACCTTAGAGACAACTGATATACACAAACTTTCCATGGAATTTAACCCTGGTGGTTAGGCTCTCTCTTCAGTCGTGTTTTGAAAGTTAATACAACACTAGCGAGCACTCACTATCAAAAGTCATTTTAAAGCCCATAACCCATACTTCACAGCTATTCGAAAATCAATGATGGGGTCAATGATGAGTAGTGTTGGGGGAAATGACTTTTTAAAGTAATGTGTTACTCCCTAAAAAAGTAACTACTAAGTTACATTTTATGGAAATTAATATGTTGTTACTTATGCTTTACTTTTTCTCACCTGGGATGGGCCTGCTTGTTTGCTTTTTACAAAAAAACGGCTAAAAAAATGGTTAGCAAATGGTAAGCAGGCCCTTTATGTGGAAGCTTTTTTCCACCACAGAATAAAACATTTTAAAAGATAATTGCGATTTTTTTTATCTCACAATTCTGACTTTTTTTTTTTTGAGAATAATACCTTTTTTTTTTTGAGGGCACACACAAACCATTCAGCTGTGAAATATTTAATATAATTATTAAATATATATTTAAAATACATTGTAGAAAATGTTCCTTGAATATTATATCAATGTTTTCTAAAATTAAATTCATTTAAACTCCTTATTTGTAATTGACACATCAATTATTTACATATGTAAATAAAAGAAAAGGAACCTAAATAAAGGAAACTGCAAAGGAAGTACTTCAGTGGCCTTTAGTTGGAACGAGATCAAGAGGCGCTGCATGATGAATCAAAAGGAAATAAATGCAGTACGTGTTGGTGTAATCAGACTAAACCACATACACACCTAAGATGAAACTTCAAGAAAATGATATGAGGCTTTCTTTACACAGTCACATTTCCTGCTGCATCGTTTGATGTGTTTTGTTTTACCCAAATCTATTTTTGCAAGTTTCTGTTTGCTTTGATGTAAACCCTCACACTAAAACATTTTGATAATAATGCATAATTAATAATGCAGAATAAACAGGTATACATCTTGACATTAAAAATGTCAAATATATGACCACATATATTTTACTTTTTCTGAGGAAAATATAAGTTATGTTTGCCTGTGCAAAATAAGCTGCCATGATGTAAGTCAAGCCTATTCTTACACTTGTGTCTTTATTTATTTATTTATGTTCATGTTTTTGAAGGCATACCTACCTTAACCTTTTCTCTCACAGGCGGTGCAGGGCACAGGCTTGGCCTTCATCGCTTTCACTGAAGCCATGACCCATTTCCCAGCCTCACCTTTTTGGTCTGTGATGTTCTTCCTTATGTTGGTCAATCTGGGACTGGGCAGCATGTTTGGCACTATCCAGGGCATCCTTACCCCCATTGTGGACACCTTCAAAGTACGGAAGGAATACCTCACAGGTCAGCCAATGCCAAACAAAAACATGACTCTGCAATATAGAGCGAAGGAAACATTTTTACTTCATAGTTTCAAGAAAATAATGGATCATCATTTGATCGGTCTCTGAAACCATATGATAGATTTCATTTTTAGATGAACTATACATTTAATCACAAACAAACATTATTAATGTTGAAAAAAGTTGTCCTGCTTAATATGTTTGTGGAAATTGGGATACATTTTTCCCTTAATCTTTAAAATATTACTGTCACTTTTGATCAATTTAATGCATCCTTAATCTTTTTTGTTTGTTATTCTACTGACCCCAAACTTTACCTTTTACTTTAACATTATACTGCATGGCTTTAATTGACATTTAATCAGATTAAACCTAATTCATTTCACGTAAATGTATCCACGAAAAGGTTTCTGTTGACGGATAAGATAAAGTAACGGTAACGATTTAGGCTATGTTTAAAAAACTCGAAAGTAACTTTTCGGCCATTTCCACGTTACTTCCGCTAGCTGCTACTCACAAATGTCAACACAATGCCCACCCAAAGGCGTAAAAAATCGAGTTACATTTATGACCATAATAACTCTTATGAGCTTTCATAAACTACTGAGAGGATAACCTCGTACCCATTTCCCACTTCCAGGTTAACTTAACGTTATCCTTTTGATTTCTAATACACATTGTTGCTCTCTGCTTTCTTTACAGTTGGTTGCTGTGTACTTGCCTTCTTTATTGGTTTAATATTTGTCCAGCGATCTGGGAACTACTTTGTGGCCATGTTTGACGATTATTCTGCCACTCTCCCCCTGCTCATTGTTGTTCTTCTGGAGAACATTGCTGTGGCCTGGGTCTACGGCACCGACAAGTATGTTACGAACTCAGCCTCTATTAGAGAGCTTACAGCGCCCTCCGATGGCATGATGAGCGATGTATTTATATCAAGAGAATTATCAACTACATTTATTTATTAAAATTCAATTTTGTTACGGTCTTATACTACCTTAATTTTTTTTAACTATAAGTATGTAATCATAAAATAATAGATTTCTTTCACAACCATATTAAATGTTATAAACTACTACCTTCAGTTGATTTTGATTGCAAAAAGGCCCATACACAATTTGAAAGTCTAAGATATCTGAAAAAGATTTTTTAAGATTTTTTTTTTTTTAATGTTTTGGGTTTAAATTATGGACATGTATTTGTGGTTTTGCTCAAAGAACATACTGTACAGACTGTACATTCTTTGTTTTTGTTTTGTTGATTTTACTATTTTTAGTAAAACTATTTAAAATATTTGAGACTACATTTTTAAAATAACTAATTGATTTAAGAGATTTAATATACTGAATACTGAGCTGTATATTGATGTGACAAGTATTTGTTGTCATCTTTATATATTTATTGAAATTCAAGTTTGTTACGGTTACAAACTAACCAATGAAAAATAAATATAGTTATAATTATTTTGTAAGTATAATTAAATTTCATACAGTAGTGGCCAAAATTTTGTTTTGTTTGTTTTTTTGTTTGGGGATTTATTTTAGTTTGATTAAAACATCAAAATATAAGGAAAATATGTTATATTTTTAAATATTTTAAAAATGATGGAAGGTCATTAAACACTAAACTAGGTTTTATCTGACAAAATTATTTAGCAAAAAAATGTAAACTGCAGTTAGTTTAGCAGCAACTCTAAACTAATTTGCTGTGATTGTGGCATTGATGCCTCTCTCTTCTGTGGGTCTATGCAGGTTCTTTGAGGATCTGAAGGACATGCTTGGTTTCACTCCATACCGCTTCTATTACTATATGTGGAAGTTTGTTACACCAGTTCTGCTGCTGGGTCTTCTGGCTGCAAGTCTCATTCAGCTGGGACTGTCGCCACCTAGTTACAGCGCATGGAACCAGCAACTGGTGGGTACACTTTTATACTTGAGATACAAAAATGTTTTGAACTTTTAAAAAACACTTTTTATTCAGAGAGGTAGAGATTCCATAATGATTATTTCACCTATAGGTGTTCTATTTATTCTTGATAAAGAAAAGTAAAAACTTCGAAAAATCACAAATATCTATAAACAAATAAGCATATCTTGAGCTTGTGTTGACCACAGACTCTATTTCAGGCATTTATAAAAAAAAAATTAAAAAAAATAATTAGCAGTGTCTGAAATCAAATTCTCTCTTGAGTTGGTACTAATTTTAAATAAGTACTTACTTTGCGACCATTAAAATGTATGTTCTATATAGTATGTGTGTAGTATGAATGTAATCCGGATATACTACATTCAATGTGTCATGTGATGTTGTCATCCTCTCCCGTGGCCTCATGGGAAAGTAAAGTGTCCATCGAAATTCAGAATCCCACTGGAAGTGGGTCATCTGGGTGCTGTATGACAATAGTGGTCCTGACAGAACTCTTGTCACATACAGTTTTTCACTTACTATTCAGTAGGGAAGCATGAGATTTCGGAAACAACGATTTACTTCAGAATAAATGGAATTTGTAATGCTAAAATGGCCTACAAAATAGCCGCCTTTACACATCACACCGACCATGTCAAAATCAGGTCAGTTTTATTGTCATCTAAAAATCACTTTAAAGTAGTTTTATGGGAAAGTATTTAGCATTTACAAATGTTAACAGCACAATATTACAGACAATAAATCAACATGAGGGATAATAAATGTGGGAGCATAGCACCTGCATAAAATAAAATAATAATAAAAAATTTAGATTTGAATGTTTTCGGGAAAGAAAACACATGCCTACCAAGACTGCATGTGTTTGATGAAAAAAAAAACCAATTCGATTGTGAAAAGTTATTACAATTTAAAATAACTGCTGTATTTTTTGGAGCCATTACTCCAGTCTTCAGTGTCACATGATCCTTCAGAAATCATTCTGATACTCTGCTAATTTTATAATACTATAACTATGGCAAACCTGTAACAATGATAAAGTGAATTGTGCTTCTTATTACAGTAATTGTCAGTTTTAAAAAGAAACCTTTGGGTAAAGACATTTATTTATATAGATTGCATTAATCTATATAAGTTAATGCCATTGCTTTTCAGAAAAAATATCTGAAAAGAAAAGCTGTGTTTCTTTAAGCCCAGGTCCTTCTAAGGTTTTCCGATGCACAGTTTTGCCACAGGATTAAAGTGGAATTATTCCTATTCCGGAATAATCCAATTGCTGTGTCTGTTCTCAGGCTCAAGAACAGACTCTCAGCTATCCGCCCTGGGGCCTGGCTGTCTGCATCTCACTGGTGGTCACCGCCATCCTCCCCGTGCCTGTGGTTTTCATCCTGCGCTGTCTGAACATCATCGACGAGAACGCAGGAGGCCTGTCCACCGTCTCCTACAAGAAGGGCCGCATTATAAAAGACACCGCTTGTAGGAGCAGAGAAGAGGATGAAGATGACGCAAGTCTTCTTAACGCAAAGTCGCCGAGCGAAGCCCCATCGCCCATGCCGGCCAACTACCGTAAGCAGAACGGCCCTGCTTCAAGTGCAGACGTCACGCTCAACGGGAGCTGCAGCACTGGATACACAATGCCGAATATCACAGACATTCCGGACATGCCCGAATCTGATTTGTGAGGACTTGTCCGGTGTCATCTGTAACTGCGAGGACCTCTTCAAGTTCCAGATCTTCAGATGTCAATCACCTGAGTAACCCGTCTCCCTCTCATTGAGATGAACATGAATGCTAACAGACAGCAAGCTTCGAACAGCTCGCTTCCATCCACACTGGTCCAGCACATTTCTAAAGCCTGGTTACACAGACAGGGCTTAGATTAAGCCAGGATTAGGCCTTAGTTCAATTAGGACATTTAAGTAGCTTTTATAAACGCACCCTAGACAAAAAGATTACAGGTGTGCATCTTGAGACAAAACACTGGCACTGACATATTTTTTCCGATATGTCAGTGCAGGTTGCTTTCAGTTAAAAAAAGATCAACAGCCTTGTCTGTGAAACCGGGTAATTGTATTATATGTGTAGCTAGCGCTAACGCACTCCTTCCCCTATCCCGACCCATTGCCCCAACTGCTTACACGCACTTACCCGACTCTAGGGTCCCTGGTTTATGCTTTGCTGTAGAATGGCTATTTGTAAAAACAGATAATGTTGCAAGGCAGGGCAGTTACTGTCCACAAAAAAAGACATTCGAAGCGGTTTAACAGCTGTTAAAAAGACTAGAATGTAAATGTATGCGTAAAACGTGGAAAACATGCAATACGTTTATTTTGGATGTAATTAAATCATTGTGTATGGATTGCATTTATACTACCTTAAAAATATGTGTGCCTAATCATGTTAATAGAATACAAGGAGAGAATGTTGTACATTTAAGGTATTCTGTAAATATATTATGAATACATGTATTCTAATATAGTTTGGAATACAGATCATGTTTTTTTGGTAAGAAGTGCTTAAAAATCCATTACGCTGACTTTTTTTTTTTTGTTTGTTTGTATATTTGCTGATGTGGTATCATTGTAAGGAGTCTTGATACTCCTCCCTCTACCTGTATATGAAGAGTTCAGATGCAAAAGCCTCTAAATGCCATTTGAAATTTTCTTCTTTAATGATTATTTTGATCAAATTTGTATATTTAAGTTCAGTAATTTCACTTAAATGGCAATGATAATTACCTATTAATTGTTATTTAAGTGAAATTACTGAACTTAAATATACAAGTTTGATAAAAATCATCATTAAAGAAGAAAATTTCAAATGGCATTTAGACTTTTGCATCTGAACTCTTCATATATTTTTCATGAATTTGCTCAATGACGCAGTATTTCCTTTCTCAGTATTGAGATTAAATGAAAGGATTCAGACACACTTTTGTGCTTTACTACTTTGTTGCACTTCACAACAACATGACCATTGTCAAAAGAAAGGAGTAGTTCACTTTTAAAAACTTTTTCTGATAATTTACTCACCCCCATGTCATCCAAGACGTCAATGTCATTCTTTCTTCAGTCATTTTTGATGAAAACATTCCAGGATTTTCTCCATATAATGGACTTCAATGGGAACCAAACGGTTCAAGGTCCAAAAGACAGTTTCAGAGCAAACTGTTCAAAGGGCTTTAAACGATTCCAGACAATCAATAAGGGTCTTATCTAGCGAAAAGATCCCTCATTTAAAAAAAAAAAAAAAAAGTTTAAGTTTTAGATGCTCAAATGTTCACCTTGCTCTGTTCTGTGATGCGCGTTCGTGACTCTCCTGTTCGAACTCGTTTATCAAAATGAACGAATCTTTTGTCATGACATTTGGTTCATTCAACAAACGTAATGAAGAGTTGACACTGGAAAAGATTTGTTCATTCAAATTCGAATAGGAGAGTCACGAACGCGCATCACAGAACAGAGCAAAGAGACCATTTGAGCTTATAAAATTTAAACTGTTTTTAGTGATCATGGGGGGATGAGTAAATTATCAGCAAAAGTTTTTTTTAACAGTGAACTACTCCTTTAAGGATGCACCAATATTAAAATTCTGCCTGAGATATACAAGTAACATTCCAGCCATAAATTATCAACTTATAAATATTAATTTATATTATGAATCTTAAAAAAAAAAAGCAACCTTAAACCTGGGCCCTTGTTTAAATGAAAAGGTTTAACAACATAGGTGGATTTAAAACATCTTTATTGTCCATTCTGATTTGTTCTGTTAATGGAAGGTCATGTTCACCAATAAAAATCTCAAAACAGGTAGTGTTTAAAATCAATGACATAACAATAAAATAAATGTTAAAACCTGGTGTTACAATCACATAAGGATTCAAATAAGCCTCGACTAAAAAGCAAATAATGTAAATTGTCATCTTTTTGACTTTTCCCTGAATCATTTCATCTCCACGTGCTTCTTTAAAACAAAAACATCAGAAAGCTAAGAGCAGTGCAAACATATCATTCATACCACTACTCTGTCATTTACACAGAGATGATATTAAAAGATTCCTAGATTTCTTATTACTTTCATGACACATCTTAAGTGTTAAGGTCTACAATTGGGCGGCCTTAGCAAAGCCCACTCGGTTACTCTCTCGATCAAACACGGTGTAGTACTGCCCTATGAACACATCACCCAGAATCCAAAGTGGTCCAGCAGGGGGTGGGATATCCAGACCCATGAATCCACTCAGACAGATGTCTTTTCCACCCTGGCTTTCCTGTAAACAACACACACACAGAATTTTTAAAAGGTCTTTGTCATACGCAAGAATCACTTCAGTGTTTTGCTTTCACTGGCTACTAGCTGCATGTGATTTAAAAGAAACACCAGGCACATGATTTTATTACAGGCATTTTATATTTATATACAGGCATGACTTCTTCCTCAAACAAAACTTCGTTTTCTGTTAATACTAATTCACAGTTCTGCTAAAGCAAAGTACCACATCAAAACAACAGCACTGAGGTGACAAAACAAGACTAACCTTGAGTATGTACTGTTCCCCAGTCAGAGAGTAAGTCTTTCCACCCAGGGTGAATGAGACGGTGGGGAGTGTGGGCACTTTCTTACAGTCAACCATGTACTACAGAGGAAATGGAAATTTAACAAGAGAACGTTATCAAAATGTTAAATTTTCCATCACTAAAAAAAAAACCACACACCAAGCATGCATACTTTGTTAAAAATAGTCTTTTTAAAATATAAAAATATTAATTGAAAAAAAAAAAAAAAATCTATCCAAAAATTTAGTTCACAAATGTGGGGTCAGTATGGATTTAAAAAAGAAAAGCAGGGACAATTACAGAAGATTTCCATTCGAATATTTTTTTTTTTTCGTTCTATTGATAAAAAAAATCCTCCCCCCCCCCCCCCCCACACAAAAATAATAAGAAGCACATTGTTTTTTTAACATTGAAACCAAGAAATGTTTCCTGAGCACCAAATCAGCATATTATAATGTTTTCTGAAGGATCATGTGACCCTGAAGACTGGAGTAATGAAGAAAATCTAAATTCAGATTTTTAAAATAGAAAACAATCATTTTAAATTTGAATATTTCACAATATCACTGTTCTTACTGTATTTTTGTATTTCAGCCTATTTGTGAAATACTCAAATAAGAGTATTCTCCTATTTGAGTCTTTCACAACTCTCACTGACCCCAGTCTTTTTGAAAAGTAGTCTGTATTTTTATTAAGTTTACATTAGCTAAAATCAAGTATAGTATCATAATAGATAGTTAATCAAAAAGATTCAGTGATGTATAATAATATCAATATTTCAAATTGCAGCACCTCTCCTTGGATCAGAGGGATTGCTCCTATAGCTTTCTGAAGGGCTTTAACTTCAGCGGCGGGGCCGGTGATCAGGGACGTCCCAGTGTCCACGATGGCTTCACATCCTCCTTTACACAGAGTCAGCCCGCCTCCAATGCTCATGCTACACACATAAACAGAGAACTGTTAACACAACATTATTGTTATAGTGATCTTCTGCATTGGTGGTTTAGTGGTGGAATCCCTCCCTGTCACATGACAGACCAGTATATTACATTTGCATGCATGCCAGTTTTAATATTTTATGATAAAGGGAAGAAATTACCATATTTAAAGCTCTATCTATAAACTAGAAAAAAAAGACTACTTAACAGTGTACAGTTTGTGCACACAGAGCAATGTATGATAGAAAGGCTTAAACAGCTACAATTGATTGACAGTTTGCAATGTGATACCATCTTGCCTAATAATAAACCATTTCCCAACTCTTGATTTCTAAACATAGATTTGTATAATAAATCAACAACTATATATGTTTAGACGACCACTGCATTACACAGAAGCCAAAAACCTCTCACCCATCCATGTGAATCTGCCAATAGGCTTGTCTGCTGATGTCCACATAGTTAAAGTCTCCAGTGTAATATTTGGAGTCTGTGCCTCCAAGGAGCAGCTCACCACCAGGTTGGGTGTCAGGGTTTCTGTCGCACAAATAAAACGGAGACATCAAAATCAGGCCCAAATGATTAAACTGCATTTAATATTTGTTTATGACAGACTGACATGTAACATTTTACATTTATTCATTTAGCTGACACTTTTATCCAAAGCGACTTACAATTGCTATATAATCGCCTCTGGAGCAACTCGGGTTAAGTGTCTTGCTCAGGGACACATTGGTGTCTCACAGTGAATTCAAACCCAGGTCTCTCACACCAAAGGCATGCGTCGTATCCACTGCGCCATCACCACCCCATATAACTATTTGCTTATTTTAAAAATATCTGGAATGAACCAGAAAGGCCTAAATAAATTCATTTACCTGTTTAGGTAGAAAGAGAAAATATTTTTCTCCACTTTCTTTTGGCTCATCATCATGTCAAACACAGGAGGAACCCCATCTACGGAAATGCGAGGGTAGGCCATGCCGAGAATACCATCGAACTTGGCTGCGATGAAGGCCACTCCAGGCTGCTTGATAGCCTCTCCAAATATTTGCTTCTCAACTGCAATATCCCCAACCTGAAAGAGAAGTTACAGATGGGTTTCTTTCTTCATTTCTGGGGACAAAAAAATATATATGTTCAGACTTTTTACTTGTTGATTCCTACCGTGCATGTGTCCTGGCTGAGATACCCAGACAAGCTTCCGGATCCATACTGGATGGCAAATTCAGTCCCGTTCTTCACATAGGTGCTTGACTTGGCCCCGTTGTACTTGTGATGAAGCACTACAGGAAAAAAAAAAAAAAAAAATACTGAAATTGCAATAGTCTTCTACTCTATTGTGACATATCCGAGTGAAATGGCTTCTCGAACAAGAAAAACAGTAGGGAAGGATTTGATTTTATTATTGATTGGCTCGTTGGATGGATGTCGTTTGCTAGAGAGTGCAACAGTGGGATTCCAGAAGTAGAAACTCTACTCGTTTTCTCCATAGGAAAATTGAGTTTTAACAATAACCAAACCTTTAAACACAGCCTTACTGTGAGCTAAGAGGTTGTTCATCGATTGCACTTTCTTCTGTTGAAGCCGTCAGCCTCATTATTTCAACGTAAAATAATTGTACAATAATGGAATTCCTGGTTTAAAAACTACATTACCCATGGTGCTGGTTGGAAAATTCCACCAATCAGAGAGTTGAAACAAGCAAAACACACTGCTAATGACAATCGAGTCGGTCTCCAAACGCTCTTTCAAAATACTTAGGCTAAATGTTTGCATATTTTGCAATAAACTTAATGTATTGTCTATAATCAACATTTTTCAATAAATAGTTTTATAAACCCAGAAATAAGTTTTTATAATCTGCCAACCCCCAAAAAACGAGCATTTAAGGACACAAAAGTGGATACAGGCAATTGAAATAGAGCACAAGGTGTCATATTGCTCTGAGAACTACGTCCACTGGAAGGGAACGTAATCGGCGACAGGGACAGCTTAGTTTACAGAAATATAATATATAAAACTTTGGATATTTTACGTGTGCACTGCTGAAGTATGCACTGCTTTTGTCACTGGTAACTGTATTTATTTAGTGCATACTGAGTGTCAGGATCCCACAATTTAGCAATTCGTTCCAGCCTGGATCCACTTTTGTGTCCTTAAATGCTCATTTTCGGGGGGGGTCGACAGCTTATAAAAACGTATTTCTGGCTTTTTAGCTTGTTTGCTGTACACCTAGTCACATAACAGCTTTTAGACATAGTTTTGTGTTTTGTTATCAAGTCAGAAATGACAAGGATGCAGCTTTTCTCAATGCAAAGTCAATGGAGATGGCTGGAACTCTAAAAAGTTCTTGTTATTACAGGAATAAACTTGCTACCACAAAAAAATGTCACTGACAAGCTTGAGCAACATTTGGCCACAGTGAAATAACTTATTGTTTCTTGAAGACTTCATCTAGATTTATTGTTAATAATTTAAGGACAACACTGATATGACAATATTGTTAGAGATAAAAATCCAAGGCTCCGCATGGACTTACAGCAGGCGATGTCAGTCAGGGAACAGTGGACCGAGGGCACCCACAGGTTGGAGGACCCTGTGTCAAACACTACAGTGAAGGTCTGGACAGGAGTGCCAAGGCCGATCTCTCCATAATACTGAGCCTGTAAACAAAACAAAACAAAAAAAATCACTCAAAATTCAGCTCCACGACAGTCTGTAAAACTAAAAAAAAAAGATACAATTTACAATTTGTTTACAATTACTAGGTACTCCCGAAAAAAAAAAAAAAAAAACAGAAGCTTAGGCATGCATATATTGAAATTTCAGTTCCACTGTGAATTGCAAATCTCAGAATTTAATAAGAAAAATGCAATAAATGGCCACAATAAATGTACATTTTTAATTGTTACTGATTAACTGAATTGCGACCCAATCTGGCAATCTTACATAGCATGGATAAAAAAAAAAAAATTAAAGAAAACATTTTTAGGACAAAACTTTTTTTTTTAAATCATAATTTCCCATGTCTCACTCAAAAACTAATCTTTTAACCCTTAAGATCTTGCATCAATTACTTTAGCCTGTTTCAGCAATAATATCAGCTGTTCATTGCCAAAGAGGATTGTTGTGGCCTACTGTGGTAAAGGCATTGTAACAAAAAGCATGACAAACTCATGATCAGTTGTCAATCACACCATCATGCTGTCCATTACAGCTTATGACAGGAAACAGACTAGCACATTTTGGTAAATAAAGATGACAGAACAAGTTTCAAGTTCACTTTTTCCTACTGTTAGTCACGTTCCACCATGGCGACATAGTGGTATTTACAAATCATATGATATGACTCTGCAAAAGAACTGTAATGGCTCGTTTCCACCGAGCGGTGCCAGTACAATTCAGGACGGTAAACCGTGATCCGGCTTGCGTTTCCACCACCAACAGTACTCTTACTTTATTTAGTTAAACTATAACAACTGCTCATCCTTTAGTATTTGCTACTTCCTGGATGTACAGCTTTGTGCACCTCTGCCGTTAAAACGAGACATTCACATGCCTCTGACGTCAAATTAATTCATTAGTGACATTCCGAAAAAACAACAGATGTTACAAATTGAGATGTTTGGTAAATTGTTTTTTTAGTAAACACAGTTATCCTACACAGGAAATGATGTAAACAAGCAATACTCACATCCAGGTAGTTCTTAAGAGTTTCTGGAGTAGGACCATTACTAGCTGGGAAGCCCAAGTTGTATTTCAGGGGCACAGAACCAGCCACAAGCTCCTCCACAGCTCTGCCGGAGTCACTCATTGTCCGTCTGATGGAACGGAACTTCTTTAGAGGAATCCTGGAGAGAAACAGACACATTTTGGATTTACTAAACTGCACTCGGTTATCTTGCAGTCATAAACACATCACCTGCAGCAAACTACAAACATTCTCATGCTAAACGGCTCAAGTCAAGGCTCATTTCTGCCCACTTTATCATGATAAACACAAGTTAGAACTTTTAAGTTGGACAAGAACCTTACCAATGGCTCACTATACATACAATTAAAGTTAAATAAGTACATTAAAAATGAATTAGTTGCATAAGTTAAGGCAAACAAATATCATTTTCACTTTGAATGTGTATAGCAATATGTGATGCAGTAAAAGCAGCAGTGTTTTGGACTTTGATAAGGCAGTGAGTCAAACTGAACCTCAGTATGTGTCGCAGACAGATAAATTGGGTCAATTTATAACATTTAAGTCAAATACAAGAACAAAAACAAAGTCATTTCACCAAAACTAAAACAAATTCATTGATGACCACGTAGTATAAACATTATTCACGTGTTTTTGAGTCATTTGTGTGCGATTCGTCCGCTTCAGTGCATTATACGGGATTACTAAAGGTTTGAACTTTAAAGGGCCCTTCATAATGATGTATAAACAGCTCCTAGTTTCTGCTGAATCACAAACGACCAGCTTCGTTGTCTAGTGGGAGACCCGTAACGACCCCTGGGTCTTTGTGATCGTTTTCACAAAGGACGGCTTAAAACCTGATGAGCACCCTGCCTAGACAGCATTTTCACACGTTCAAAATTATATAGAGGCACTAACGTTACTTACGTCTTAAGAGGCAACTATAATCTTTTTAATTAACGTAACTGGTTAAAATATTATTAAAACAAACTAGTAAGTGCAAGTGAACGAACTACAAATATCACACTCGATGTTTACAAGGCACACTGAACGCTAATGATCGGATATGTTGTGTTTGTTAAGTTTGTTTGGCCTTATTACCGAACAATCGCGTCGGACGTCCACAGAAAGGCAGCAGCTAGCAGCACACAGGCGAGTCTCATGTTGGCGAGTCCTCGAGATCTTTTAACGCATCCGAGGAGTAGGCTATCTGTCTGTTAAGTGTGTTGTTGTGTGATCTGATATAAGACAAACGGCTGCAGTCAGCTGACGTGATGGTACTGCCGAGCAACTTTTGCTCACCGTCATGTGATGATGCGTTGAAGAACATCAAGGCTGCGCTTGGTTCTGCGCAAATAGAATTGGAATAAAGGCACTGAGAAAGTTGATTATTTGACAAGGACGTAAGAAGATTAAACTGCTGGTGATTAATCTGTCGTCTCTTTGATCGGAATGAATGAATCAATTAAATAATTAATAATAATTTGATTTAAGGAATTAAATTAATCACATTTTAATTTGGTCGAATATGTTAAATATATTTATATATAAATATAGCATAACATAGCATATGTAAATATAGCATAAGTGAACACACCCATGCTAAAGTTTACTAAAAAATAAAAATAATAATCTTTTGTAAATTGATCTTAATGCCTTAATAAAAAAAGAGGTATTAAAATAATGTATCGTAGATAAATAAATGTTCTTCCTTAAAGGTATACATAGTATACGGAGGATCTTTCCGAATTTTAGAGAAGACCCGCCCTCTCCAATTTTTAAAAATTTTATGCAAAGGTTTTAAGGTTAGCTGTTGTTTTATGAATTGCAACACTTGCTACCTGTCAAACCTAAGCCCATTTCCAGTACTTTTTAACCTAAATTAATTTGTTAAAGACTACTTTTCTTTTCTTTTACTAAAATTGACTAAAACTTGACTAAAACAAATGTTATCTTATTGTAGGCTATTGATGCTATTTTGTATGCTAGTCATGTTTTCTTTTTATTATGTAGCCTACAGTTTCATTATTTCATTGAACTTCATTTTAAAACATGTTAGTAAATAAACCTCTTTAACCCTCTGGGCTTCTTCGTAAATGGGTTACACTTAGCTTCCTCCAGGTCAAAAACGGACGAAGCCTTAAAATTTTACTTTACTTCTTTCCAGGATAACCATTCAAATATATTTTTGTTCTATAATATTTTATGATTATTATTTAGAATTTTTAGAATTTTTTATGATACTTTGCATTAATTATATAATTTTTATGAGCTATTTTTTCCATTAGAATTATTATACATATTTTTATTTTATATTGTTTTTTTTTTTTTTTTTTTCAATAAATACAACATTTCACATCAAAATAGAGTGTCGGCTAATAAAAAAATAATAATTCAAGTAGAAGAGCGCCACTTAGTGGCTTTAAAAAATAGTTACATGTGTGCAATGTCCTGTACAGCCTGTAGGCTGCCTATAGCTTCCTATTCAAATACATAGAAAGGCTTTTTGATTATTTTTGTTGGTTTAGACATGATTTCTCATGTCTGTGTGCGTGTGTGTGTGAGTGCGCATTTGAGCAAGATTTTTTTCTCATTTATTGATTTTATTTTTCATATTCTACAAATTTGCTGGTGCAGTCTTGCCAGTTTATCTGTGTGTGTGTGTGTTTGTGTGTGTGTGTTTGTGTGTGTGTGTGTGTGTGTGTGTGGGGGGGGGGGGGGGGTGCCTTCATTGCTGTACACTTTTTTTCTGCACAGTTGCTGATCTGTAGCTTGTACCACCAAAAGTTTCTCTGAGTTTTCCTATTTTTTCGTATTTCCCATTCATTTCCTATGTCGGTCATTTTTGACCGGGAGGAAGCTAAGTGTGACTTTTTTTTTACGACCCTTTAACAAATCAGAATCATCTCCTTGATTTTTTTGTGTGTTCATATAGGTAATACAACAAAAGTCACCAAGTTTCAGCCCGATCCGATCAAGCAAAAAAATTAAACATTTCAAAACGTAACAGTTTTCGGTCATTTTTGACCGAAGAAGCCCAGAGGGTTAAATATATCAATGTATTGTTCAATTCCATTATTAAAATATTATTATTATTAAAACATGAGTTAAATAAATATTTTAAATGTCTATTAATTTTTAATTTTCCCATTTAAAAGAGATTTATTGACATCGTATAATTCAAGCATTGTATCCTAATGCTTGAATTATTATATTAATAAAACTCAATTAAATTTTAAAAATAAAATCTTTTACATTTTTTTTTTTTTTTCTAATTAACAACTGCTGGCTACACACACAGGATTGTGGAGAATAATATGCCTTAGTTTCCTCGTAATGCTCTAAACCGTGAAATATTTGTGTGCTTTAATTATCACAGTTGACCTTTTTCAAGACGACACACAGGTTGAATTCGTGTTTATTGAGATAGCCCATCTTAATAACAAATTCTGTCCCAGACTGTAAACCTGAATACCGGTACACCACTATCACTATATGTGTCTTCACAGTTTTACCACTAGAGGTCAGTGTGAGCTCGATAATGTTCTCGCTCCTGTCTGAGAATGTGGTAAAAGTTCCGTCTGAAAAAGGTCTGGAGGACACAGACAGCAGCAGATTCCACATATTTGCAACAAAGTTTTTGTTCTTGAACTTGTTCAGCATAACAGAATGTGAAAATGTAATAGCAAATACGCTCTCATCACTTCACACATCTCCAACATAGGTGTCCTGAAGAAGTAAACAACTCTTTTCATTTCAGTGCAACCACTGAAATAACACTATTTATCACATCGCTATTACATAATACTTCCAGACATCTATAGCTACATGTTTATATAAGCATGTAGTAGACGAGCTCTTGCTGTTGGTTTATCCTTTTTATTGCACACAAAGCTATGATTTGCAGATTTTTCCGTCTAAGAATGTAATGTACTGTATGTCTGCTTCCTTGTTTTACAGATTCATATCACATGTTAACTTTGGTTGTTCAACATTCCAACATTATGAATCTCATGTCAGCTGATTTTCAAGCTGACTCATTCTTTGGTTCTCAGCACAAACATCCAAGCAAAACGGATCCCATTATTTAATATAAAATGTCATTTTATAGGTTTTGTACCAGTTTTATAGGAAATATCCAGTTTCAGACTAAACTTATTTTTAGATTTCCTGGTTGCATTTTATTAAATAGCAAAAGGTTGTGTTAAATATGCATAAATTAAGCTAGTGGGTGTTTCACATTCAAAAGAACACTGACTGCAATGAAGTCCACTCTATTTAAGTGTAAGATTGTGTAATAAGTCTGTACGCATATGATGTGCGTATCGGTGCTGAAATGAATGAGGGGGATGATTTCATTTTGTTTACATGAGCTTATTTTTATTTGACAACTGAGCTGCATAATTTCAAACAGCAAATGTGTAAAGCATTAAGGAAATGTGCAGCAGTCTCTCAGTGTATCCTTTAAAAAAAATCCATAGATTTCTTCTACAACATGAACATTAAACATACAGCATATTATTCACAAACTATATACATCCACATGCCACTGTTTAGGCAAATGACAGTTGAGGCAAAGACACTATAGGGCCTATGAAATGTGTTACAATGCAGAAATAAATGGCAGCTGGTACATCACTGTTCCTATGCATTAATAAACCCAGGCCTAGAAAAATAAACACATTCAATAAAACTCAAGAGCCTTCCATGATCTCCTGATTTGTAAGATCTTTCCAATCTAAAAGGTCTGTTTACATGTTTATTCATGTCATGTTACAGTGCTCCACAACATTTGTACAATACACAGCATGACCCATTTAGCTTTTTCAAGGTCATGAATAGTGACAATGTTTCAGAAAAGGCAAAACACATTTGATATAATCACATATCTCTTACCTTACCTTACTGTCTTTCCTAAAATGAGCCAGCTCACATTTGTTTGTTTATGCTAGCTCAACATATATTCCAACACTTGCCTTGTATTTAAGAAGATTTCCTTAAGAAAGACATACATCGTAGTTTGAGTTCAAAGGGCATTGGCTTAAAAACGAAGAGTGAGGACTGTGTTATAGGAAACTGAGAAGGCAAGAAAAAGTGCACTTTACCTCTGGATTAAATAACTACTTTTATCAGAATATATACAGTACAAACTTTTATATCTACCAAAAGAACACAGATTACATTCAATATCAAAGTTCCATAAGGTGCTATAATACCTTGTATATTTTTGCTAGAGGTGACACAGGACAATGATGTCAGATTGTTGGCAAAGCTCTCTCCGTTATGATTGACAGGTGATTGGTCCCGCCATTCTCATCTGGAGTGCTGATTTTTCGATTGTTCGGGAGAGGGAGAGAGAGAGAGAGACGGGGGCTGCTGTAACATTACATCAGAGGATTGTTGCTCACACCATTTGTCCAATTAAAATCGCTCAAAACATTTCGCCAACACCCCTACCAGAGGAGCATCTCTAAGAAATGAGTCGTGGCCCAAACTCTACGCTATGTTGAGGTATGTAGGTAACTCTTTCAAGCACTGAACATTAAAAAGAGCGGAAAAGGGACTGGAATCCAGTCATACTATAATAGAAAGTTATATCTGACAAATACTGCAGCAGTCACACCAGCCTGCTTGAGGTCAGTATCAAACATTACATCCAAGAGTCCAATATGTGACTTCTTCACACACACACACACAAAAAAAAAACTCAGCTAGGATAAGTGCCGTTCTTTAGCTTACAGAGGATTCATTTGTATTGCACTAAACTACATTTCTTTATCAAAAATTAAAAAAATAACAACAGACAACTACACCAACCACCCCCCAAAAACCCCAGAGCAAAGTCTGAGATTTCACACATTTTCATAGGACATAAAAGTGGCTGCAGTCAATTGGATTTTCATTCAAATATCTCAAGGAATCAGTGCAAAAGGCACTGGCTGTTACAACGTCCCCCATTCTCCCCATTCTGATAAAGCCAGTTTGTTGTGAAATTTTGAATCCTACTAATAATAATTCAATAAAAGAATAGCCTTTGCTTGGAAATCCATAGAAACACTATACTAAATACTCAATGACAATTAAATTAAGATAAACGGATAAATAGCAATTTTACAAGCAAACTAGTGTGCACTCAACTGTCAAAAGGACCAGCTTTATGTACCATCGTTTTCATTTCTTTGGGACTGCTGACAGGCATCATTCTCTGAGCCATGGTCCCCAGACACAGGAGAGGCCAGGTCGGCGTCGCTGGACAGGTCGCCGTCGGGAGACAGCGGCTCGTCATCCTTTGAGGACGCGGCATCAAATCCGGAGGTTTTATCGGCACACACGCCGGGGAAAGCGAAGGCGGCGGCGGCCGCAGCTGCGGTGGAGGCGTGAGTTGGAATCCCGGGGTAAAGCCACGGGAACGGCGTGGTCAGCGCCGCAGCCGCCGGATACACCAACTTCTCCAAATGACTTTTATCAAACAAAGGCATGTACGATGCAGCTGCGGACGGGTTTATGAAGTAAAACGGCATGCAAAAGGGAGTCTGTTGTCCACCAACACCCGTCATTCCCATTAAAGAGTTCATAAGCGCCACGTCCGGTCGGGTGTTGGCGGAATCAGATGCGCCGTTCGCAGACCAGTTCAGTTTGGCTTTTTTGGTGACGCGTTCGTCTCCGAACTCCTGCTTGATCTTAACTCCTTTCGCTGTGTCGCATCCTTTCTCGCATTTGCCGTCGCCTTTCTCCGCCTCCCCTCCGTATCCGCTGTCAGTGTCCGTGTCGTTCTCGTTCAGCTCGAGGTTCTGAGTCCTCTGGATGACAGGGACGCAGTTGGCTTGTGTGTCTCTCTGCGTGTCCCGCTCTGGAGCGTCGTCGCCTGGCAACTGCTGCTGCTGCTGCAGGATCCCTGCGCCCGACTGGAACTGCGCGGAAACTTTGTGTAAGTGGTTGATGAGTCGCGTGCACCTCTGCTCACGCGCCGTCCAGTTCTCCACCTTGTTCAGATACTGCAGGACTTCTTTGGCACATGCTTGAAAGCCTGAGTGGAACGCGTCTAAGTCAACCTGGAGGGAGGACTTTAACGATCGCTCACCTGTCATAAAAACAAAGACAAAGTACTGTCATATATAATAGAGAAATGACTGATAGACAGACAGATACATAGAAATAAACTGTCCATAGATTAGATAGATTGATAGATAACTGATTGATTTATTGAGATAGATAGATGATCGAAAGATGATGGCTAAATAGATGCAAAGCAGATATAAATATGTTCATATAAAGAAGATAAATATAAAATACACATCATTATGCGTTCATATGTGCAGTTATGTTAGTGTTTAAGCTACATTTCCTCTGTTTTACTTCATGTATTGTGTGTGGGTTGCATATTATGTAATTTACCGTTCTGCAAAGCGATGATCTTCTGGTGCTGTTGTTCTGTGACAGCTGTCAAAGCGTTCAAATGCTTCAGCGTCAACTCAAGAACTACCGCTTTTTCCAAGTGACCAAGAGTCTGTAAGACAATACGAACATTTATAGGATTTCCCTTATATAATTGTAAAAAACACATTTTTAAAAATTAATTCAGTTGATTTTACCGTAAGTTTGAGATGTTCGGGTAATAAATCTTTCAGCTGCCCAATACATTCATTTATTCGGTCCCTCCTCTTTTTCTCGATCAGTCTGTGTGGTAACTTGTACGCGTCCTGTGAATGGGAAGCAGCCATTGCAAAAAAAGTTCTTAAAGTAATAATTATCGCTCAAATTCTAAATAACGAGATGTTACGTGAACCTGACGGACATCACGTTTCCATCACGGCTCCACAGTTTGCTTACCTTTCCTTCCTCTCTCTTCATCCCTCTTTTGGATTTACACATGTAGAGGGACGAATATTCAACCCTATAAAAAGAAAACACGATTTTAATCTCAACACACATGAAAAAAATATTAACGTTACTTGGAAAAAAAAATAAATAAATAAATAAAAACAACCGAACAAAAAATTACCCCAAGAAATCCGCGTGATCCAGGAACTGTCTGCCCTGCATTCTAGGTATTCTTTCATCCATAACTTTGTCCCACTTTCTTGTTCAATTCTTTTACAATCAGGCTTGGTTAATCCAGTATCAGCGGAGCGTCGGTGCGTTGTGTGTCCGGTCTCGCACAGTACCACTGAATGATGAAGTGTGTGTGCGCTCGCCTGAGCTGCCACTTTGCCCAGCACTCAGTCTGCTCATGGCGACTACCGCGCACGCGCGCCTCCACCAGGCAGGAACCGCGCGCACACTCACGTGTAAATGCACCAGCTCGAGAGTCTGGGAATTAAATGGGGATTGAAAGTTGTCAGTTCATTGCTGAATAGACTCTGAAAAAAATAATCCTCAGCACATCGCTCCAAAGCATTCAAATAATTGCATTTTAAGTCTCAGGAATAATATCTACACATGTAAATATCAAATAGTAGTAATAATATATAATATATTATTAATTACATAAATGTTTCTACATAAAGCCAATTCAAATTACTATAGGTTAAACCTAGACAAAATATTTTTTTTTTGTCATTTTCGAAAAAACAACTTCAACATAAATAATTCATACTTTGTAGTTAACAAACATTCAAAAGCATAGGCTATTTACGTCGTAACGTTGCAAATAAATGCATTATCAAAATGTCTTCATATAAGCTGTTTATCAGGTTTGCCAAATATATTTATCACTATTTGATGTTTAATACCTCTTTTAGCGTGTGTGTTGGGGGGGCTTTATTGTTGTCAATAAAATATTCCTCTTATCATTAACTATTTATATTTATTTAGTAATTTGTTAAATGCATATTTTTTAAAGATTTGCAAATGGACAATTTATTTTAAATGAAATTAACTAACAATTTGTTTTTCATTTTGTCTTCTATGGTACTTGCAACTTTATAATGGGAACCTTTCTAGAGTTTTGTGCAGTATGTTGAGCATGAATTGACATCTATAAAATCCACTGAGATTGCTTTGCTTACATGCCAACATGATATAAGACGAGGTGTTAGATTACACAACAGCACATAGAATAAGCCCTCAATATGTGGATGAAAATAGACCACATTCTGTCAACACCCAGCCTTCAGAACACTTCAGCTGATGAACCCATTAAAATCAGAGCATGAAATATAAAATGAGAACTTAAGCTCTAGGTGAATACAGTCATATTCAATGAGAAACGTGTCATGCATGTAGTTAATGAATCTCCATAATTAACACAAAGTGAAATATCTGCTCTCTCTCTCTCTCATAATATTCATAAGAGATTAACTGTAACCCTCTCACATGCCCGCGGATCACGTAACTTCATCAAAATCATGTGACTAACTCCAGGCTGAAATGAATAGATTACACAGTATGTTGCAGGAAGTTGGCAGGACTCAAACACTTGCCCACATGTTTGCCAGTGACAAGAATTATTTCTGCTCTCTTAGTAAGATCCATGTTTCCTGTTTAGTTTCAGGGAGTCTATTACAGTAGTTGTCGTGTGTTGGAGTCCCCCCTTTATGTCTCCCCTCTCCTTTACTACACTCCCTCCTTTCCGTCTCCTCTCCTTGTGCTCTATATGTGGCTCTTGTGGAATCTGCTCCAAATGTTTTCCATATTAGTTCAGAGCCCTTTCTGCTTCCGAATAGCGAGCAGGGATCGCGTAGGGAGAGAAGTCTCCAGTGAGGAGGGAGGGGAAGGGCAGGGCAGGGCAAGCGGGGCGGCAGGCAGCGTGAAGGAACAGTCTGGCTAACGAGAGCAAAAGAGACGGCAGGCGAGAAAGAAAAAGAAGGACAAACAGATAGAGGGCGAGAGCAAGAACATCCAGTCGGCCTCAAAGGAAGATTTAGAATCTCAGCACGAGACAGGAGGAATTATGGGGTCGGGGACGAGTCCGAAGGGGTCGCCTGGAGGAGGCAACGCAACCCCTGCCAATGAGAAGAAGGGAAAAGCAAAACCTGAGGGCCCATTACTGGAGGATGTCCAAACATGTTGTGGCTGCCGCTTTCCTTTGCTGGTCGCTCTGTTACAGCTTCTGTTGGGCATCGCAGTGGCAGGGGTGGCCTTCCTCATGGTTGCGATTAGCCCCTCTTTGCTGGCCAGGGAGACGCCCCATTGGGCCGGCATCATTGTAAGCTTCCTTTTGCTCTCTCAACTCCCAGCATGCCTTGTTTTACTCTTTCATGCATGAGGCCATCACATCAGATTCATGTGACACACAAAATTTGCACTGTACATAAGCCAACCCGATCTCACGGCGATTCATACGAATTTTACAAGGTGGCCAGTTCGTATGAATTCATACGACTGACCCCTGACCCCGCCCATAAACCTACCCATCACGTGGGTTTAGACAACTTGTGCAAATTTGTACGAAGTGGTCGTGAGACAGCGTTGAATAAGCATGCTGTTGGAGAGAGCATGTGCGCATCCAAGTAGAATAATAACTACGTTCACACTGCAAAGCTTTTTCTATGTCTTTCTAAAATGTGTTTAAAATGTCAGATTCAAGTGTGAACTGATCCCGATCCTGAACTGGCTCGCAATCACAAATGAACAAAAACAAAGCCTGCATAAAGCACGCTTACTGGGAAGGCCACTGTCAAGTCAGTGCGTCACTGTCAAGGTGATGCACAGGCGATAAGAAGGACAAAGACAAGCACGATTTCAATATATTTCGCATATTTCAATGTTTATGATACGACCCCTAAAGTTTTGCTTGTGTAAAGCTGTCACCTTAAAACTTATGGAAAAGTCATATAGCATTCACACTGAGGTCTGGGCTACACTGTAAAAACTGATTTTTTGGTCAGTTGGTCACTAAAAATTGGTTAATAGAAAGTTTCGGTACATGGTGAATAATTGTAATAGATCGAACTGTACATTTAATGTAGTTTTACAGTAAGATTAAATTAAAGTCTTTGTATAGACCATTTTGCAAGATGTAAACAACACTGGTCCAGAAACACTTCCTGTTTCAGTTTGTAACCGTTTTCTTTATTTCACATGTGAAGAAAACATCTAAAAGATGTTTGTTTAACTTCTGTTGGTTGTATTTTATCCCAGCTTTTATGTAGTGTTAAAAAACTGAAACAGGAAGTGCTTCTAGACCAGTGTTGTTTACATCTTGCAAAATGGTCTATAATTACAGTGAAAAACTGTAAATTGACATTCCCAGAATTCCCTGCAAGACACTTCACATTTTATGTATTTTCATTGAATAACTGTTTTAACATATAATGTTAATGATAAATTAATGTTTATTCCATATTTTGAATGTCATGTGTGTCACCATTATGGTGTTTAGTGTTTGTGTGAGTAAGATGCACCTCCTATAGATAAGTTTTGACCTTCTCAACTTGTGGAAAAGCTGCTTGTGATTGGCTTCAAATCATCATGTGATTCTCATCACCATTGTGTTTTGTGTCTGTCAGTATACTGCAAAATTGTAAAGTACCTCAGTAAAAAAACAGTTCATGTACTGCATTTTACATTTAATTTAAGTTAAATCTGTAAAACCTAAAATGTTGCTACCATATTTGTTAAGGGAAATTTCTGGCAACCAAAGCTGCCATTTTTTTTTTTACCATAAATTTAACCAATTTTTTTTGACAGTGTATGGAAGTGGCTTACCAGTAATCAGCTGCTCACACTGTAATGGGAAAAAAAAAGAAAAAGATTTGAGTCACAAAATCAGATTTAGGCCACTTTTTCCTGCAGTCTGAACGTTGTAAAGCTGATATGAGATTCACCACTGAGAGATTTTCATAATTTTGCGTGTTCACTAGTGATTTACAAAGAATTCATGCTTAACTTTTGCACAAGTATTCAGTTGCAGAAGCCTATGAAGAGTTTAAAAACAACTCTGGTAAGTCAATCCTAAAAATACTACAGTTGTGTTTGTTTGAGAATCACAAGAGAGTAAGATCAAACTTATAAATAGCAAACGATTGTTCAAAAGATTCAATCCAGCTTAAAGCAATCGCTGAGTTACATAGACCGAAAACATAACAGGGTCTGAAATACAGACAATAACTTCGCATGCATCAGTTTTAAGATGAATATAATAGAAATTACATTATTTAAAGTTTGTGTAACTGTAATGCATTTAGGGTTTAGTTTACTCAAAAATAAAAATTGTGTCATCATTTACTCACCCTCATGTCCTTCCAGACCCGTATGAGTTTCTTTCTTCTGTGTTGAACAAAAAAAAGAAGATATATTAAAAAATATTGGAAATCAAACAGTTGATGAGACCCATTGAAATCCATAGTATAGGAAAAAATACTATGGAAGATAGTATTTTTAAGATACCAACATTCTTATCGACACACAATATCGTGTTTTGTGTTTAGCAGAAGAAAGAAACTCCCTTTGTTCAACTTTAGCACAACTGTTATTTGTTAGTTTATGTCAGCTCAGGTCCATTAAATTACAACTACAAAAAAAAAACTTGATATTAATAATATATTAGTATATGTTGAAATTAACATTACGATGAATGTGGTTAACTATTGGTAAAGTGTTACCAACTTTGCTTTTAGTTGTTAAAATTTGATACTCAATTGCAGTTTTGCATCCTGTTTGCTGCCTCAATTCGAATCAAGAAATCGAAACGAAATGTAAAAAGCATTCTCTGTTCAATTCTGACCCCAACAACACTTTCTTTGTGTAAAACATTATGGCAATAAAACAAAGCGACGGCTTTGTTGAATACACAAATTCAGAATCATAAAACGCACACATTTTATTGGGGGCATTATAGATCAGAGATCTTATAGGCCTCACGAGAGGGCTACTGTTCCTAGAGAAAAACGCTGAGGTCACCAAGACTTCTCTGCCTCAGAACCTGGGAAAAACAATCAAATTAGATACCACACGTTAGTCACAAGACTCCAATCACGCTGAGAAAAGAGCGGGGAAAACACACAGAGCGAGAGGGAGAGAGAGATAAAAAGCGTGAGAGATAAAGATATCATGGAGGGCTCAAAGGGAAAAAAAGAGTGAATGGGGTCAAGTTATTCAATTTTCTGCAGCAGTCAATCAATATATTATCAGATGACAGCTCAATGCTGAGTTGCACAATGCTGATTACAATGAGGGTTATGGTTGGCTCATGACAAGCCTGGCAGACACACAATGTTAGGAGTTCTGCGACACTGCAAATAAGATTAGATCAATCCAGTGACTGGTATGTGTTCATGGCAACAATGACAAAAAAAAATTCAGCAACAGA